GCTAAGACATGTTTTAGCCCTATTTCCCCCCTCATAACTTTATAACTGATGTTTACTATATTTAAAATAAAGAGAGATGTGATTTCCTTTAGTAAGTTTGTAGTTTCTTACATGTAGAAAAAAGGATTATTTTGAAGTTTTTTTTCACTTTTTACAGGTTCTCTTGTGGAAATGCAGGTTTAAGGACAAGTTATCTACCAAATTAGAAGATGGGATCAAACAGCAGCAGAGTCAGTGATCTTCCTAAAAATGAATATTTAAAGAAGTTATCGGGCACAGAATCTGTCTCTGAGAATGACCCGTTCTGGAATCAGCTTCTCTCCTTTTCTTTCCCTGCACCAACTAGCAGGTAAGAGATTAGCTGGAGATTGAAAATTTGTATAGAGGGTACCTGAACTATTGTGGTATGCTAATTTTTGAAAAATAGTTTTCAAATATTGTTTGAAACATAGCGTTCTATGTGACTATATGTATGTATGTCTATCTATCCGCCATACATGTACCAGTAGAAAACCCCAAAGATATAAAAAAGGATAAGTTTTTCTCTTTTTCCACAATTTAGCCATTTCTCCCCCAGAAATGATCACTGGTAGCAGTTTCTTTTGAAACTTTCTGGAGACAATACAAAGTTATTTAAGCATATTTCATGTAGTTTTAGAAATGTTTTAAGTACAAATGGTAGCACACTACACATATATTCTGTCCTTTGCTTTTTTTCACAGTTAAACAAAATATATCTTCTATATATGGCACATATACAACTGCCTTATTCTTTTTTGATGGCTGCAGAGTATTCATAGAATGTATGTAAGCAGTTTTCTTTCTTTTTTTATTTTTTATTTTTGAGATAGAGTTTCACTCTGTTGCCTAGGCCATGTCAGCTTAGCTCACAGCAATCTCAAACTCCTGGGTTTAGGTGACCTTCCTGCCTCCCAAGTAGCTAGGACTACAGGTGCCTGCCACAACCCTGAGCTAATTTTTCTATTTTTAGTAGAGGTGGGGTCTTGCTCTTGTTCAAATCAGTCTTGAACTCCTGAGCTCGAGTGATTGA